AATCAGAGTCTCGTATGGCCTCCTCCACGGCCACTTTGTTCGCCATGCAGTCCAGCGGCCGATAGATGCTGAATCCATGTGGTGGTTCTCATGGACTGTTCTCATCACAGTTCATCAATCCATTTCCTCCGGGATCCTTTGACACACAGAGAGTGCAGTCAGTGTTCTTATCACGATAAGCAGTGTCTTTAATGAGCAAATCTTTATTCACTCAAAATCTAAGTCACAACCAGATATTCTTATCCACAATTACTTTCCCTTTATCCCTTAAATCACCATTAACCTACATTTAAATTAATTTTCCATGGACTCTGTGTTTTTTCAGCAGATTATTTCAGTGTCTATTCAAAAAAACAAAAAATAAAAATAAATAAAAAGAAATCCCCAAAAACATTAAACATTAAACATAACCTAGCTTTCAATGCCTGGCAGTTGAAAGTTATTTATACCAGTATGTATTCAGCCTGAACATCCTATGGATGTTTCAGCTCATCATTTTTTGTTCATATAAGCTCAAAATCACTGCAACTAATATAATCTAATTCAAGGAACCTGTAAATATTTAGAAAACATTTAACCCTTTTTTACACATTGTAACACTCAATTCATGGATTAAATAAATGAATTTTAAAACCATTTCTACATCATAGCATATTAAGTTTTAGTCTCGTCTCAACTTGTAACTGCATTTTAGTTTACTGCTACACCCTCCCCAGAAAATTATTAGAAGTTCTTTAATCTCTAAGGAAAAAACCCAGCTTGGCGCAGATTCCCCCTATTAAAAACTCCCCCACCAGACCTTGTATCCGTGAATGTTAGTGCATGAGAGAAAACCTCATTCCCATGTGGACCCTTGTGTGTTCTTCCAGTCGTTAACCGTGTGTGGGCGTGTTGTTACGTGACAGTATGTGTGTGTGTCTATGTGAGTGGATCTATACGTGGGAAACTGGTCAGGAGCCATCCCGCTACTGGTTTGGAAGAAAAAGTGTTTCTTGGAGCAGTGATCCTCTCAAACATGCAAAAAAAGTTCGATGTTCGGACAAGTCCATCAGGTTTCCCTCTGCTACCACAGCAGCTTTGAACCATAAGAGTCTTGGGGCCATGTGTCCCCACACCCCCTGAAGGATAAGTCTTTACCTGTGTCATCAGCAGTATCACATAGAGGTAGAAGGAAACAGTGCGTCAAAGGTGTTCCTCCCTTCAAGAGGAAATGTCATATTGAAATGTTCATCTGCTCAGAGCACAGGATTGTACTCTGACTCGCTGCTGCGTTCCCAAAACTCAGCAGTACACAGTTCCTGAAGGTGTTGAATTCGACTGCACCCCCTCTATGCAAAGTGTCCAGCTATAGTCCATTTAAAATATTCTCCAAAAAGCAGTGCTCCGATGAGAAAAAAAAACAAAACAAAAACAAAGAACAAAGAACAAAATAAAAACAAGAAAAAAGAAAATCTGTTCCAACATCCCCAGAACCAGTCAATAGTTGTCATATCTGGACCCCTGACCAGATCCAAAAAATGTGCAGGAAACATAATCTCTTCTTATATGTGTTATCTCAAATAAACTAAACACTAAAGTGTGCATCCCCTCTAAAGTATTAATTGCAGCTGTAGTGAAGTAAAGTCAGGTGTTCTTATTGCTTCATGCATTAAAAGTATGGTTACCCATCCCCCAAATTGTATATAGCCCCTCAAATGCTATTTATAACTCTGCTCGCAGTAAAAAAAAAACAAAAACCAAAACAAAAAACAAATAAATCAATCAAAACAAATAAAATAAAATAAAAAATAAAAAAAAATAAATGGTGAAGTTTTAGTCCCTGGGCCTGATATTGAATCGCCATAAGCTCATTAACACTATAAGTCTTCATCGTTATTGAAACCATCATTTGCTTTAAACATTTGCTCCTGAAATGTTATAATTTCCCCTAAATTGCATTCTGTTGATGCAACTTTACCATTCCCAAAAGTTAAAGTTTCAACTTGTTGTCCCTTTAACATACTGCTAATTAATAACTGACCAAACTATTTATCAAAAAACCCAGTCTAATTTATCACATAGTAAAACATCTCTAAATCCTCTTTTTTATTCCTCTATGTAAGAATACCCCACCCCCTGATGATATAGAGAAAATTTAGCATAGTTTTTCATTGTGAATAAGAAATCTGGTGTGTCAGTTCACTTAACTTTTTTTTTTTTCATCCGTCTTGTCTGATGATCCCATGACCTCCATCAACCCATCACTGCCAGTGTTCTTTTCTCGTCCAAAGCAGTGGGCATCCAGTCATTTCCTTAATGTTCGCATCTCAGCAGCTGCAAACCATCCCTCTTTCTGTAGTTTAGGAGCAAAGTTTGTCTCTGTGCCCCTTGTAGGTTAATCCATCCTGCGACTCAAGAAAGAAAGTGTCCAATGTCTCTCCAAACAAAAAAGATCCATTGTTCATTTTGAAACATTCCCATCCGTAGTGTAGTCAAAACTATTCAAAAAAATTTAACATGCGTGCCACGTCTTTTTTTTTTTTCATAAAGGCTAAGATGTTAGTAAACAAACAGAAAACAGAAAACAAACAAACATACAGACACAAACAACGACAAACATGTAGGACAACAAAAACCCCAGTGGTGCCTCCGACTTCTCCAAATAGTTGTTGGTTCATCTTGTCATTCGTTAAATGCCTCTGTCAGCATGACTGCTCTTAATGTTCCACCCCAACAAAAGTCTGTGAGCTTCAAACCACCACATCCATCTGTACCTCATAGGTCATATCAGAACCAGAGAGGAATTAAAACAAACCCAGAGCTCACCAGAATGGCCTTCAGCCGGGAACAAAACATGCAGCCACAATCTCTACACCCTGTCTCTGGCATGCTGCGTTCTCACACCATCTCTCTCATGTCCTGATCCATGTTCCGATCCAGTCCAGTTACTAACCAAGTCAGTCCAGTCAGTTCGAACCTATTCAAATCCTCCTATCAAAATATTTATAACTATCTGAACCCCTCTCTCTCTCTTGCTGTAGTCACTCTCAGCCAAGTTGTCCATTTCACATGCCAGAACTTCTGCAGCTGTTGGGAAAATAAGGGTTAATGCACATCTTAAACAAAAACACAAAGAAGGATGAGACATTTGTCAGCCTGTCCTGGAAGAAAACTGTTAACATTTAAGGATTGTTACAAACACAGCCTAAAAAATAAAAAAGGAACATGTTTAAGCAAAACGATCTCCTGATCCTCCTTAAATGGGCCTCTGAATAATCATGCCTGCTCCCTGACAGCCGCACTGTCACTCTCTACAAGCAGGGAAAAAGTAAATGACCCCTCTGGTTTGTTACCAGGAAAAAGCAATCAAAAAGTACATCAATTAGTCAATAGTTAATCACTTCATTCACAGAAATTTGTAAAGTTAGCGGAATTTAACAAGTCATGCAAAGAAGGTAAGGCCCAGATGAACAGTGAAAAGTGTTAGTGTTAGTAATGATTAGAGATGCAAATTAATCAGTTTGTGCTTAGGCAGTTTCCAAGCGGCATTATACACAGATAAAATACTCATGGATAAAAACTGAAGGCTGAAAAAACCCAGGGTCAGGTCACACCGAAATTGTTCTTAACTCTTCAGCCTTGTTTATAAAAGTTGACCCCGCTAATCTGCTGAGCTCCTGCGGGTATCTTGGCCATATGCTGTGTCCAGTTCCAGCTCGAAGTGTGATTTATCCTGTCCCTAATCAATCACTAATAAAATCCTAATGAGAGAAAAATGAAACTAATCAATCTCTAATGCAATTCTAATGATTGAAAATGAAACTACCTTTAAATTAAAATCATGTAATGCCCTCGTCTGAGATTTTAGTTTCCCAAAAAGTAAAAACACCCATTCTGCTTCTTTCTGGATAATTACTTAAATATTTAATTATTTTTCTAATCTATAATCTATTAATCTACAGTATCTCAGCTGCACTCCACACCCAAAAATTACCTCACACCGTACAACAGCAACCTGCTCTGGTCTTGTCACGGCCTCTCATAGGTGGAGCCCCTGAGCAACATGTTTGATACGATTGCCCTTCTGTTATGCCCCCAGTGCTCCTTCTCAATCCTGTAAAAATGCAAATCATGTTAATGTCACATCAAAAAATGTTCTTAATCATTTCCAACTTCACCACACACATTCTACCTCACATGCATTCCACATTTAGGACAGACAGACAGACATTGGCCACATAAAGTTTGTTTAATCCATCAGTATCAATTTAGATTTATCTTCTTAGAGGATTTTTTTTTTCCCAATTTAAACAAAAATCATAATCTTTTCACCAGTCCGGTCTTAAGACCTCTGCACCAGTGCTTTTCAGCCTCATTTTAGGATCCTTGTTAAACTCTATGTGCACATTTATGGAAACCTAAGATTTGTTTGCTCACGTTAGACACCAAAATAAGTTTTCACACCCAATGATTTTTAATTCTAAGCGTCCCCCAAAAATGACATGTTTGAATTTTCAAATATGAGAACACCTCTAAGGGGTTCTGAAAAAGTGGTATGTTTTGTTTTTCTCCTGAAAATCCCATTACCCGTGTAGTTTTTTGGCAGGGGGCACATAAAGATTCAGGGTGCTGTATCTGGCCCCCGTATCAACGATAAAAGGGCAGTTGCTGCCCTCAATCAAAATAACTATCACTCCTGCTGGAAATTTCTCAATAACTACCTCCATAACTAAACAAATAGTGGGATCCCGGCCTCCCTAGTATTGCTGCATTGACTTCCTATCTCTAATTCTTACTGAACCCGCACTTCGATCTTCTTTGCCCATTTCTCCCCTTCTCTATCAAACTCACCCTCCATTTCATCTACTGCTGTCTGCCTCTCTTCTTTTTATCCACCGAACTCAACCTTCCTAATTTATCTATTTGATGTAACCCACTCTATTTTGAACAGTTGACTGATTAAAGATCCATTTAATCCACCTTAGAGTATCCTCAGTGATCAGTGTTTAATTTATATTCACTTTGCTACAGTTTGACAAACTTAGCTTGTGTGGTCTAACATTTTCAAATATAAGCTCCTGAATCAGTCACTCTAAATGCAGATTACAATACCATTCTAGTGTAGTAATTGGTAGATGTCTTTAAGGTAAAAACTGCTTCTAGACTCCTGGGCCCTGCCTTTGCTGTGATCGGCCCTGTGCGCACTCAGTCTCTCTGTGTCTTCTTTTTCTTTTCTCTCCTGCCTCTAAGTGAACGGCTGCTCTGTGTGATCCACCTTCTGGAGCTCAATGTTGGGCCGGGGTTTACAGCACTGAAAATGTACTAATTGATCTTCTTACCTTTAAAATGTTCATTTCAAGACATCGTAAATTGTAAATATATCAACCTCTTATATTTTAAGCTTTCCTTTCCCTTTGTATCATATCTTCCTCATTGCTATCCGTATGTGGCTTCCTCTGCTCATCTCTCCCTCTCAGACTGTCAGCTGCCCCTAGACTGTGCCCTTCATGTTCTGTGCCCATGCTATCAATTGTTGACATTCGCTGAAATGCTTTATTTACCGCCTCCTCTATTAAATCTTGCATCTGAAACTCCTTTCGTACCTCTTGTCCCAATTCTTCCTCTGTAGGCCTTATTTCACAATTTATCTGACCGTCACGCAACTCCATAACAGGCATCTGCACACATGGGTTTGATGGAATCATTGCATCACCAGCCTTACGAAACATTTCTCTGACACCTTGGTGTGGACTGGGGTCCATAATAGGCTCTGTTTCTGCAATATTAGATGTACTCATGAAAGGTTTTTCTTACCCTCTGAAGTGTCGAGTGCCTGCTCACCTCCCTGAGCCCCGTTTTGCTCCACCTGTTCCTGTTCATGGTCCTTGTCAGAAAAATAGTTACTAAAATTGAACTGGGTTTGTCTAATCAGATCCAAAAGTTTTGTTTCTACCTTCTGGTGTTTGTCTCGTCCGAACACACCAGCACCAGCCATTTTTTCACGAGCTTGTGACAATCTATTTTTTAGTGTATCCAAATAAAAACCACGTTGTGAAGTGTTTGGAGGGGGCCCCTCTAATTCCCCAAACACTCCATCTTCTCTCATTTTTTCAACCCATTCATCAAATTTTCTAATGTGGTGTTCTGCATCCTTCAATGGATAACTCGCCATGATCATATTTCTCCCTTTATCCAGACTCGCTTTTAACGAGGTATTTCTGGATTCAATTTTCTAGTCCACATGCATCCATCTTTCACACCTTCCGTTCACACAGTGTGTAAAATCAGACCTCGACGTCTTACGTGAGATCCCTCGGTGCTTTAAACTTTTTACCTATAAACTACAGTGAGCCGCTTCTCTGCTAAGGAAGTGCGTCCGTCAAAGAAATACGTCCGTCAGTGAAAAGGAAAAAAAAGAAAGGAAATTTAGAGAAAAGAAAAGATTTAGATATAGTTCCGCCTAGTTCACTCCACCAACTTTGAGGATTAGACAAACAAGTTACCTAATCCGGGCATCAGTCTCTTCTAGTTTTATGAGGAATAGCATTTTATCATCTCTCTCTTTTCCTTTTATAAGAGAAGAGAAGGAAAGAGAAAATACCTCAAAGGTCCGTTTCAACCTGACCCGCTCGCTTATTTCCAGTCTCGGTTTTTCGTAAATGTCCTTATGGGAGGTATACTGGCAAACTCTAGCCGGCTATGTGACTGGTTTCTGTCTGTGCGTCTGTTTTCAGAGGTGCATCTTTCGTGTCTGCAGGCAGACCGGGAATAAAATCACCGTCCCTTTCTGCATGCAGAAACCGTTGGGCTTTCCAACCAACTTATCCTAGTGAGCAGTATAGTTCTTGAAGACGTTTGCGCAGTCGCCTTCAGTCGGACTTTCAACCGCTACCCACAGCAGAACGCACGACTTTCTTTCTCTCTCTCTCTCTCCTTTTTTTCTTTTTTTTTTTTTTTTTTTTTTATGTGTACACGTTCGCAATGTAAAAAAAAACTAAAAACCAACAAATACAACAAAACAAAAACCGCAAAAACAAAAACTAAAATCACTCTGAGCAATTTCTCTGTCCTCTTTTGCATAAAAAGCTTCAGCTCACTTCAGAAAATCACAACACAGCCAAAGTGTTTTAACAGTAAAAACACTGGAGATATTTTGTAATAAGGAATCTCCTCACCTTATCAGTTGTTTCGGCCGCAGGCTGTGGAGCTTTTTCCGTCGGTGGCTCTGTTGTCCTGCTTCCAGGTCACGGGCGGAAACACCAATTTGTTAAAGTGAGAAGGATTTGTCCCCTTCAAAGTAAAGGCTGTAACGCCCCGGGGCCTCCTCACACGGTTCTTTTCCTGGGAGCAAGTTATTTACTACTCTTAACTCAAACTCGTTAAAACCATATAAAAAAGGACTATAAAAACAGGAGTAAAAAAGTAACAGAGTTTATTCTAGATCAGGTCGTTACAGGACAGAGAAAAATGCTTAGAGCTATGCACAGCTGTGGTCTCAAAAATCACGTCCGCAAGCGTCCGGCAAAGTTTGAGCCCCGAACAACGTCATCACCTGCTTCTTATACCTTCTGAGTCTGTGTCACATCATGTGGATGCTTAGCTGTCCGTATCAGAAACTGACACGCCATCCATGTCTTGAACTCCATGCAGGTTGCCTCTCTGTCTCAGGGTTACAGATACAGCAGCTCTCCTATCAGACCGGCTCCAAGATGTGCCCATATCCTTTGTACTCTTAGAGACACAAAGGCTGTCTTGATTAGATGACCTCCGCACACACCGTGATATCCACAATGTGAAGGAAGGCCTTCTGCTCTGTCTAATCTGACAAACAAATTAACAGTGCACATGATGTATAAATAATAAACCCTAACACTAGTACTGGTTCTTTTCCTGGTCCTGCTCCTGGCTCTGGTTCTGGTCTTGATTCTGTCGCCAGGTGCTGATTCTGTCTCCTGGTCCTGTTTCTGGTCTTGGTCCTGGCCCTGGTACTAGTACTGGTTCTGGTACTAGTACTGGTTCTGTTCATGGTTGTGGTCCTGCTTCTGGTTCTGGTCCTATTTCTTGTTCTGGTTCTGGTCCTTGTTCTGGTTCTCATTCTGGTCCTGGTTCTGTTCCTGGTTCTGGTCCTGATTCCAATCCTGGTTCTGGTCCTGGTTCCGGTCCTGGTCCTTGTCCTGAATCTGGTCCTGGTCTTGGTTCTATTCCTATTTCTCTGGTTCTGGTCTTGAATCTGTCGCCAGGTGCTGATTCTGTCTCCTTGTCCTGTTTCTGGTCTTGGTCCTGGCCCTGGTACTAGTACTGGTTCTGGTACTAGTACTGGTTCTGTTCATGGTTGTGGTCCTGCTTCTGGTTCTGGTCCTATTTCTTGTTCTGGTTCTGGTCCTTGTTCTGGTTCTCATTCTGGTCCTGGTTCTGTTCCTGGTTCTGGTCCTGGTTCCATTCCTGGTTCTGGTTCTGGTCCTGGACCTGGTCCTTGTCCTTGTCCTGGCTCTGGTCCTGGCCCTGGTTCTGGTCCAGGCCCTGGTACTAGTTCTGGTTCTGGTATTAGTACTGGCTCTGGTTCTTGTCCTGGTACTGATTCTGGTCCTGGTCTTGGTCCTCGCCCTGGTACTAGTACTGGTTCTGGTACTAGTAGTATTGGTTCTGTTCATGGTTCTGGTTCTGGTCCTGGCTCTTGCCCTGGTACTTGTCCTTGTCCTGGCTCTGGTTCTGGTGCTTGCTCTGGTCCTGGTTCTTGTCCTGGCCCTGGTTTTGGTTCTGGTCCAATTTCTGGTCCTGGTTCTGGTCCCGGCTTTGGTCCTGTTTGTGGTTCTGGTCCTGTTTCTGGTCCTGGTTTTGGTCCTGGTTCTGGTTCCAATCCTGGTTCTGGTCCTGGTTCCGGTCCTGGTCCTTGTCCTGAATCTGGTCCTGGTCTGTGTTCTATTCCTATTTCTCTGGTTCTGGTCTTGAATCTGTCGCCAGGTGCTGATTCTGTCTCCTTGTCCTGTTTCTGGTCTTGGTCCTGTTCATGGTTGTGGTCCTGCTTCTGGTTCTGGTCCTATTTCTTGTTCTGGTTCTGGTCCTCGTTCTGGTTCTCATTCTGGTCCTGGTTCCATTCCTGGTTCTGGTTCTGGTCCTGGACCTGGTTCTTGTCCTTGTCCTGGCTCTGGTCCTGGTTCTAGTCCTGGCCCTGGTTCTGATCCAGGCCCTGGTACTAGTTCTGGTTCTGGTATTAGTACTGGCTCTGGTTCTTGTCCTGGTCCTGATTCTGGTCCTGGTCTTGGTCCTCGCCCTGGTACTAGTACTGGTTCTGGTACTAGTAGTACTGGTTCTGTTCATGGTTCTGGTTCTGGTCCTGGCTCTTGCCCTGGTACTTGTCCTTGTCCTGGCTCTGGTTCTGGTGCTTGCTCTGGTCCTGGTTCTTTTCCTGGCCCTGGTTTTGGTTCTGGTCCAATTTCTGGTCCTGGTTCTGGTCCCGGCTTTGGTCCTGTTTGTGGTTCTGGTCCTGTTTCTGGTCCTGGTTTTGGTCCTGGCCCTGATTCCAGTACTGGTTCTGGTACTATTACTGGTTCGGGTCCTGGTCTTGGTCTTGTTCCCGGTTCTGGTTCTGGTCCTAGTCCTGGTTCTTTCTCTGGTTCTGGTCCTGGTTCTGTCTCCTGGTCCTGGTTCTGGCCCTAGTCTTGGTTCTGGCCCTGGTTCTAGTACTGGTTCATTTCCTGGGCCTGGTCCTGATTCTGGAACAGGTCCTGGTTCCTGTCCTGGTCCTTGTCCTGGCCTGGTCCTGGTGCTGTTTCTTTTCTGGTTCTGGTCCTTATCTTGATCTTATTTCTGGTTCTGGTCATGGTGCTGGTTCTTGTGTTGGTCCTGGTTCTGTCTCCTGGTCCCAGTTCTGGTCCTGGTTCTGGAACTGGTTCTTGTTCTGGTTCTGGTACTAGTACTGGCTCTTGTTCTCGTCCTGGTTCTGGTTCTGGTCCTGGTTCTGTCTCCTGGTCCTGGTTCTGGCCCTAGTCTTGGTTCTGGCCCTGGTTCTAGTACTGGTTCATTTCCTGGGCCTGGTCCTGATTCTGGAACAGGTCCTGGTTCCTGTCCTGGTCCTTGTCCTGGCCTGGTCCTGGTGCTGTTTCTTTTCTGGTTCTGGTCTTGATCTTATTTCTGGTTCTGGTCATGGTGCTGGTTCTTGTGTTGGTCCTGGTTCTGTCTCCTGGTCCCAGTTCTGGTCCTGGTTCTGGAACTGGTTCTTGTTCTGGTTCTGGTACTAGTACTGGCTCTTGTTCTCGTCCTGGTTCTGGTTCTGGTTCTGGTCCTGGTCCTGCTCCTGGCTGTGGTCCTGGTTCTGGTCCTGGTTAATAATAATAATAATGATAATAATAATAATATATTTTATTTAACAGCGCCTTTCTGGACACTCAAGGTCACTTTACAGAAAATAAAAAGAAAGATGAAAATGAAAAAATACAGATACAGGTACATCAGAACAGTTATGGATCGGGAAAAGAGCAGTATATTCACAGATAAGCGAGCTGGAACAGATGGGTTTTGAGTCTGGCTTTGAATAAGGGGAGAGAGTCAATACTGCGGCGGTCGGGAGGAAGTGAGTTCCAGAGCTGGGGAGCAGAGCGGCTGAAGGCTCTGCTCCCCAGTGACAAGTCGAGCTGGGGGTACAGTGAGGTGGATGGAGGAGGAGGATCTAAGGGAGCGGGAGGAGGTGGCAATGTGAAGGAGGTCTGACAGATATGGAGGAGCAAGGTTATGGATGGCTTTGAAAGTATAGAGAAGGATTTTAAATTGAATTCTGAATTGAACTGGGAGCCAGTAGAGTTGGTAAAGGAAAGGGAAATATGATGGAAGGAGGGGGTTCTGGTGATGACACGAGCAGCTGAGTTCTGAAGAAGTTGAAGTTTATGGAGAGATTTATGAGGGAGGCCGAAAAGAAGAGAATTACAATAAACAAGACGGGAGGTGATGAGGCTGTGGATAAGGACAGAGGCAGTATGAGTGGTGAGGGAGGAACGGAGACCTGGTAATTTTATTTATGTGAGACTGAAAGGAGAGGGAGGAGTCGAGGATGACACCCAGACTCTTGACCTGAGGGGAGGGGGAGACTAAGGAGTTGTCAATGGGTAGTGAGAAACTTTTGATTTTGGATAGGGTGGATTTAGTGGCAACAAGGAGGAGTTTGGTTTTATCACTGTTTAGTGTTCCTGCTCCTGGCATTGGTCCTGCTCCTGGTTCTGTTTCTGGTCCTGTGCGTGAAGCACTGCAGGTTTT